CTGGTGGCATTGGCAGGGTGCGGGACAGTAATTGTAGATGCCCACCCTGCCTCAGAGGAGAATGAAAATGGATTATTGTACAAAAATCGATTTTATAATTTCTGCATCATAATTTTTAATTCTCTGGTTCCACACACACTTATTGTTTGGGAGTTCATGCAGAAAAACTGGAGCCATTAATGAGTAAATATGATGACCTTTCTCCAAGAGTTCTCAGCTTGATAAGGAGAATCCCTTGTTGTCAACTTAATGGCGCATTCAAAGACGACATAGGACTCTTTTCAAGACAAACTTGAAGATGATGATATAAAAGTGCAAAAAGTCAGAGGCTTGGAGCCAAAGACTTGTTTCTGAAAGATGAGAAAGGATTATTTGGAAACCTTTGCTTATAAAGAAGAGGTTGATTTCAGACCCAGATACAGAATGTCTAATCAAACATTCCCATCTGAGGCTGTGCAGACTAATCCAAGGTCAGATAATAGTCCACGAACATTGGAAAGGCGGTTACCTCACAGGCTCCCAGCTCATGAGAGCAGACTGAGATGAGACTCTCCAGCCTACTGTCAACTCACTGAGGACTAGTCCTCAGAAAAACTGTACCCTTGGACCTCGGTCAGCAAGAATATAATTGTGGCTCATGTAGCGGAGAATCCAGAGTTTACAAGCACCTCTCCTCAGAAACCAGTACCGGCACCCATCAAGCCAGTCATAGACAGATACACCAGAAGAGAAAACGGCACTTGAGGAAGGCGGAGAAAAACCCAAGGAGGTGCGGCCCAAGCACAAGAAGAAAAAAAGTTGTGAGGAAGTAGATTCAGACAAACAGAGGTGGAAACAGTTAGTGTCAGTTCAGAAAAGCTTAAGAGTCGACAGGAGGAAAACAAGCAGAGAAGTATCGTCTAAGAAAGAGGAACGTTAAGCGGAGAAAAGAGAAAAAGGATCAAGGCGAAGAAAGGACGGCGGAGGAAATGCTGTGGGGCCAGTCCATCCTTGGACTTTGAAATCACACGGTTGGTTCTCCTAAGATTGTATTGAACAAAAACGTGTTGAGTAATTTGGTTTTGTGTGTTTCGTGTTCATATCACTTTTCTTACATGAACAGGTATTTTAATCTCTAACAAAGACCAGTTAAATGGAAAGGATTTAGTATGCTTACTCTCCAACACGGAAATTACTTTTCCTTACTCTCTAAAAGCAGCATTATATTTTTCTTATATATAATGTAATTTCCCTTAATGATAATGACTCTGCTTTTTATCAAAAAAATTGCTATGATACTCGAGTCATTTTCCCTTGGGAGATTGTTTGAAATTGGAGGATTAATAAGCTTCTCGGAATCTATTTCTTGGTTGGGGTTGCTTTGTTTTAGCGGGACACTTTTATGTTTGTTGGTTTTCTCTATGAGCAATTTAGATCGATTATTTTCTTTGTTAGCACTAACATGTTGTGTATATTCTAGGTTGGAAACTGGAAAATTAAACCTATTACAACAATAAGCTTAGATTTAAATCTTGTTTTAAAAGTTCTCAGAGTTCTGATACAAAATCAGCTTATATTCTGTACTTGTTTATAATAAAGTGTTTTAATTTCAAAAAAATTGATAAATTATCAAGGGCTCATGAAGGAGATGGTGGGGGAGGGAGGGGAAAAATGAGGAGCTGATACCAAGGGCTCAAGAAGAAAGAAAATGTTTTGAAAATGATGATGGCAACACATGTACAAATGTGCTTGACACAATGGATGTATGTATGGATTGTGAT